CGAACGGGTGCAGGAGGTCTCCGGCGGTACACCTGAAGACTTGGACGAATACTTCCGCCTATTCAGGATCTCGGGGATGGGACATTGTGCTGGAGGTCCCGGGGCGTGGGAAATTGGTCAGAGTGGGGAATCGGCGACGTCTTTGGATGCGGATAAGAATGCACTGGTGGCTATGGTCAAGTGGGTTGAGACAGGAAATGCACCGGAGACCGTCGAGGGTGTGAAGTATGTCGGTGATGATAAGGAGAAGGGAGAGGCTTTCAGGAGGAAACATTGTCGGTATCCGCTCAGGAATACCTACGATGGCGTGGGTGACCCTTCAAAGCCGGAGAGCTGGCAATGCGAGATGGCGTGAATGTGGTATGAGGATGTCCTCTCAATATAGAACCGTCTTCCCGACGCGAGTTTGTGTGATCGTATACATATTCGAGTACATACTACCCTCTGCCAAATAGATTTCACGACCGTTACAATGAACCGCAACCACAGAGGTCAGTACCGCGATCCCAATCTTTCTAATGGGTAGTCATGCTTAAGCCAGCTTGAGTTCGGGATTGTCATACGAAGACCTCTCTTGTCGACCAGCACCCAGCTTCAAAGTCCCAACCGTCTGCTGCCCTTGAAGCTTTGCTACGAATCATTCACGATCGTAACGAAAACCTTCAGCTGTTGTTGCCGGTAAGATCTGAGGTTATGGGTATTTTCAGTCGGTGGGATGCATCTCTAACAATTATCCGCAGACATGTCTACATCTGACGACAACGAAGAAAGACAATCGCTACGCATGTCCGCGATCTCGGAGTCTACATCCATCGGGACATCCTCAACTACCTCTGCCGAATCGTTGAATGTTTCAGTGCCTTGACTGTAAAGAAGGGGCAAGGAAGAGAAGTTCACCTTCGTCTTTACAATGATCTCCTGTCATATCCTCGAAACGACATTCATCTTGGGGGGCAACCTCGAGAATGGGAATACCCAACGATTCTGCGTAGTCTGTTGTAAGATAATCAAATCCCTTGGCCTTCTGCCACTGCTCCATAAGATCGTACGCGGCGGTGTCCCAGTAGGCATAGCTTGCGCGAACCTCGCTGGTAAAGGAAGGGAGGTTAAGTGAAATACGCTCTTCTTCAGTGATGGCCGACCCTCCTTCAGGATCGTGGGAATAATAGTAGAGGTTTTCTCCGCGAAGCCAAGTCTCAATGTCGGGAGCACTGTCAAGCAGTCGAGGGGGTGGTCGGACGAATAGATAGCATGGTAAGCCCTGTTCCTCGTTCCAACCATTGTCTTCTGCCCCGGACGGCGTTATATCGTCAGCAACAAGTTGCAACGTGAACCATCTAATGATAGCTGTTGAGCAGATCAGAAGTCTGTTTCTATACGACAATGTAAAAGGGAACAGATACGGACAGAATAATGACCAGCCTTTTTGAGGAACTCTCAAACGACGGAATATCCACCCGGCTTGTGTTAGCCATTGCTCGTGAGTGTAATACGAATTCCTTTTTCCATCCTGCCAAAACCTGAACCCTGGGTGGCTGAATGATTCCGTGTATGAGAAACTAGAGTAGGCATAGTCAAAATCTGGGAGGGATGGGTCTGTAGTCCAGAGCAACGCACCGCATTCCTCCTTTCTCCGTCGTTATGCGTTCGCATGGATCTGAACCATCCAAGCCAAGTTCACACGGTACGTGCGTCGGGCTGTAATTCCATAGATGAGTCGGAATTTCAAGCACACGTCTTGAAAACCCCTCCTGATCAGTCCACTCATTGGTAAGGTGTTCTTTCCAGAGATATACTCCACGATGGGCAGGTCCACCTGCGCGACGTGCGGTAGCTGAACACATCGTGTGCACTGCCAACCGTTCCGAGAAATTGTTTATAATGTAGTCGAGGAAGGTGGCATCATTGCACACATCAAGGGGTAAAGGAGGAAACTCAAGGCGACGGTCTCTGTGCACTGGGTGTTTCACGGACTCCCGGTCGAGGGACCCAAGGAAATATCTGTTGGGGTGATACTCGAGGCGAGGCCCGGGTGGCCCAAAACAGAGGACTCCTGTTTGGGGGCGGAACCACAAAAGGTTGGTCAAGTCCGATTGTCCCTTTGATACCGAAAGTATCCAAGTCCGAAGCTCATCAGAGGCTTCATCAAGAAACACGCCCTGGACATATGATCATTTCAACGTCAGTACTATCGTGGATGTTCCAAAAACCGACGTACGGAACGGGTTTGGAAGTGAAGGTAACACTGTGCGGCAACCGAATGACGGTTGTGTGTCAAAAAATGGTTAGCCGAAACGAGCTCTAGAGGATATCGGAATGTCATAATTTGTATCAGATACTCTGGGGTTAGGTGGCCCACCTTCGTTAAATATGATAGTGGGAATATCGGAATCGTTGAAAGCTCGGAGCTGCGGCATCGTGGGAGATCTATCCCAAGCTGGATGAGTAATGTCTCCATCAGCTTTGAAGTAAATCGCCTACCGTTGCCGAGAAAAGAGCATACAGTCCTTTTTAAACAGCTGAATTAGGATCAAGTATTAGCAACCGAACGAAACTCAAACAAACAGGTCAGTTAGGGCGCACCTTTTTTGCATTACGACCGGTGTACCTGATAGTCAGCAGTGGAAGAGACACCTCTCTTCCGTCCACAATCGATGCGGTTTCAACGACCCGTTCTGCGTCTGGGTGATCCTCCCTCCTCACATTCGGCATTATACGCCGTCTCCTCGAAGTCACTACTGGCTCGCGACAGATGGTATTAAGGAGTTTGATTCTTCCTAAAGGGATTCGCTCATACTGTCGTCGCCCATGCGTGAGTCAGCTACAAGCCAGACTCGAGTGTATCATCCAACCCACCTCCTGATATAGGTTTTCTTTCCATTCGTCTCCTGGTCGAAACCGAACCGGGTTCCGTTCGACCATGGAGCGGTGGAAGTGTAGATCGTGGCTATTGTAGTTATTGATTTGATTACCATGAACGACGCTAAAGTTTCCTTTTGTGATGCTCACGGCGTCTGCACATTGGAACGTCGACATGGCTGGTAGAATAGTGATGGTGTGCGTACAAGTCGAGAGAACACCTTTTATAAGACAGTTTGCTTTGCTTCAAGGTCATATGTTCCAGCCGTCCCAATAGTTCTAGCAAGTTTCGCAGTTTTTTATGCTCGATATGTATGTTCAGTGTACAAACCAATTATGTCCTGATCCAGTATGGTCGTGGTGCTAGAAGGTGTTAGTTATTACCAGCACCCGCAGAGCTCATTCAGTCTGTTTCCAATAGGGGACCCTATCTTGTTTGTGAGTACGCCGAGCAAAAATCCTGAGCACCGAGAATCACAAGACTTGCTAGACTTTTCGGAGTGGCTGTCATCGGGATGCTGCACGTCTAGGGATCCAACATCCCAGTCCGATAATCATAGCCGTGTAATCTCCGTGCAATCCTCTGAATCAGATGTTGGGACAGACTGAGATCCAGCTCCAGCTCGGACTGCTCGAGTCAAAGCGAAACGGGCCAGAGGTAAGACGCCGAGGATGGGAAAAGAACAAATGTGCGACAAATATATCTTCTTGCGATAGGAGAAGAATTGTTTTGAACTCCATTTGCATGTTTGCCCCGATACAAGACAGGTTCAAAGCTTAGATCTTAGACCCGGCCCACATAAGCTTTGAGCAGGTGTGAATCAGCTCCAGGAATCAATACAGAACAGGTTAGAACTGGACCCACTGGTAGCTGAGAATATCCCGCTGCTCCGAGCTGACAAACCCTCCGCGCGTACAGACAATTAGCCCAATCCAGTACGATTGCATCTCGGAACAAAAACATCGCGTCTTGGGTCGATTTTCCCGAAATTAGGTAGCGAATCGACCTATCCCTGTAATAAGTGAAACTACGGACTATTCCAGGTAGACAGGAGGGGGGTGTCTGAAAATTTACCTATCGGGGTTGCTCGAGTACCGTTACTTGGGTTTCTTCCATCGACTAGTATTTCCAATTCAACGGTCTCCGAGGTGTTTTCCTCTTCCGCTTGGCGTTCATAGTACTAGTAGAGAATGTGAAAATAGACTCAGATCCAGAGTCAAAGTACCAAAGAACCGGATGCTCGGGACAGGAGGCGGCGGAACACCTAAGTACACCTTCAACACGATCTCGATACGTGTTTATATTCTTGAGATAGCGCTCCAGGTAGTCAGTATTGAGGACTGTTCAACAGCTTCAACTAGCTCTCACCGAGGCTATCGGTATGGGGCACTGAACGGACGGAGAATCCCAGATCGAGGTGTCGAATTTGTAGGCGAGACCTGACGAGCTTTGAAGAGGGGTGGGTGAAGAAGGTTGTAGTCTTAAAAAGCCTAGGAGTGTTTCGTCTTATTGTGTCAGTCGTACAGCCTATGGGGTAAAGAAGTGAGCGATGAGTCAAAAAAAACAAAAAAAAAAAAACAAATATGGCGTTGAAAAGAAAGTGAAGAAGATGGCGAGCAAACGTACTTTCCCAACTTTCCAACCCGATCTTGAAACCTCGGTATTCTCATGTAGCACTCTCTCCGAGACTTCTACACCTGAGAGACGAAAGGAAAATAGCATCTAGGTCCCGAGTATGGGACACCGATCTTCGTTTCTAGACTTGCATTGGACCGACGTGCGCGATGAAGTGGTTGAAGTTTATGGATGACCGAAGCTACGAAGCTGATCAGAATTGAGATAGACGAAACACGAAAGGGTCGACACACCTGTAGAAAATTCATAGCATCTCGTATATCTAGATCTCATCCTACCAAGCACTTATGACACCAGACAAAAAACTTGTAGAGCCATCCATTTGCTGAGCCGGTCGTTGGACTAAAAGAAATGGGACGACACAGACCGTTGATGTAAAATGATTGAGTCTTACTGAAGATGGGGGTGAGAGGCTGGCTGGAATAGTGGTGGTTTCGGTGAGATGTCCGGCACGGGCGCTAAGGAGTGTAAGCGACTTCGGATCGCAAAAACGAAGTCTTTCGTTTGGACACACTGGGAATTGAACCCAGCACCCCCCGCATAAACACAGTGTATCAGAGTGCTAAGCGGATGTGATAACCAACTACACCATGTGCCCTTGAAGACAATTGTACAATATTGTACCATGGCTTCGCCGTTCGAGGGAACCACCCGAGGTTTGTCCGGAGGTATTCGGCGTATCCTCGCGTAATCTCAACCCCTTTTCAAGCGCAACGAGGCAGCGTCAGAATTCATATCCAATTCCCCCCGGAACAATATGTAAAGAGAGCCCAGCGTAATACTATCTCTCTCACCAGGACCACCACCACCATGGCAAAATCAGAAAAAGACACCAAAATCCTCGAGATCGCTCGCGAACTGAAGGACGTACCATGGAGTGATGAATATGAAAAGATGGTCTCTGGAATGATGTACGTCCGTGCACTTGCTCCTTTCCCCAAGCTTCCACGTTTACAGTTTACCCACTCGCACAGGTACAATCCCCTCCATCCATCTCTCCTCCAGGCTCGCCATAGATCTCGTGGCCTCGCCTACGAGTTCAACACCCTCGATCCTCGCTCAGAACCTGATGCCGACAAGTTCGGTGAGAACCAGCTGAAGCTGTTGAGAGGCATGCTTGGCAAAGTTGGCGAAGGAACGTTCATAGAACCACCGTTCAAGCCAGATTATGGGTTCAATGTCATCCTTGGGAAGAATTGTTTCGCAAATTTTGGGTGCGTAGCAGCTAGTATGCGTTGTTGTACTATGATCTCGAAGCTAACGTCATTAGCCTCACAATCCTCGACGTATCCCTCGTTATCATCGGCGATCGTGTTCAGATGGCACCCAACGTCTCCCTCCTCACCGCTACACACTCAACCTCCGTCCTCTCTCGTATCAAATTCGTCGAGTATGGGTTGCCTATCGTTATCGGGGACGACGTCTGGATCGGCTCCAACGTCCAAGTGATGCCTGGCGTGACAATCGGAAAAGGATGTACAATAGGTGCGGGCAGCGTAGTGACGAAAGATATCCCAGAGTATTCTGTTGCGGTTGGGTGTCCGGCGAGGGTGATTAAGAAGTTGCAGAGTGTAGAGGAAGAAAGAGCGGATCCAGAGAATGTGTGGAATCAGTTGCCGGATAGAATGTAGACGTTAGACTCTAGAGGTCGTTTAGTAAGAAGTTCGAGGTTCAAGCTGCGATACATGGACATCTCCAATCACTGGACCGATCCGTCACTCCGACACGGATCTTGCCCCACGTTGAGTCTCTTTTCTCACTCACAACTTCTCTCCACATAACCACCACAACGACATTCATAGCACTCACTGACGTGCGTCTGACCGCCTCAAGATCGATGAATCAAACGACGAGGATTTGGACGCAGTCGATATCGATTGACTCACAACGATATTCCAGTGGTCCACGCGCTGCTTCAAAGGAGACGGCATACCAAGACCGTGAAGCTGATTCAAGGCCAACGCTACGATTCTGTTCCGTCCCCAGCGCGGGGCGCCCTTTGTAACTCGGAAGACTGGAGTCTCTATCCGTATTCACTGCTGCTGAACGCCAAGATAGAAAACATCAAAATCTCTAGGCAAAACGGGACTATTGGGGGTTATCCTCGTGAAGACTGGCGACTTGAAGCGCTACCTCAGGAAAACGGCTTATCAAGACCGTGTTGGAGCTGTACACGTTCTGACGCCTCCCGTCCCGAGCAGAAGATAGGAGGGCTTTGTCTGTTTTCACAAACTCCACTGGCTGCTGAATGTGCACATGAACGTCAAGAGGGAAAATCAAAATCCTATCTCTGAGACCGTTGAAGTAGAAACGACAGTCGTTGGAAGAATTATAACCTGGAGGGTACCGGTCGTCATAAGTGCCGAACGTTCCCGTGTATTCACGCTCACGCTCACCACGATAGCGAAGATTTCGTATCGATCTGGCCACTACTGTTCGTCTTCCAAAGTAGGTCTTCGTTGGGTTCGACACCTACGATACCAGGGTGCTATATTATCCTTGGGCTCCCTCGAGCAAATTTGATCGACGGTACACTGTTTCTGGAAACGCTCCTACGGGAAAGACAGGAGCGAGTACATGCGGTAGGCCTCACATCTGGTTTGAGCAGCCCAAGAAAACAAGAGCCGTATGCCGTCCTTTGAAGACATTGAGCTTCTCCTCAGAGCCTTCAGGCCTGCGTACGCCATCATAGTTGCCAAACCAACGATGGGGGTGATACAGGGTCTCTCATGGTTTTTCGGCATCGTGCTCAACTCGTTTCTTTCATTCAGGGAAAAAATTCCGTTCCCCATGGCTGCGTTCTTGGATCATTTTAAAACTAAATTTGGATTGGCTTTCGATGAGCCTCCGGCGTCTTCCAGCGCCTTCCTTTGTGACTTCGACCAGGTAAGAGTTCTTGTCTGTACCACACATCATATCTGCCTATCCATAATTTCTCAGCGTGTCACGTCAACACCGACGTGACGCTGGCGTGATGATTGCTGGAGCTAACCGACATTAGGGGATCTCAAATCACCGGTTATTAAGTACTTCACGTCAACAACAACGCCGGATCTTCAACCTTGTCCACGTGCCACTAGCCTCCGGGCGCAGACTGGCATAACCGTGGAGCCAATTGTTAGTCGACAGCATCACGACTTTGGAAGAGTTGGTACTATTCTAGCGCGGGATAGGTCAAGATCTTGGATTTTCTCTCCCGTGGCTTCTGTGTGATACCTTTCACAAAATCAACTTGACAGATGTATCGTACATAGAAAAAAAAGCTTAACCTGATTTTCTGGGATTTTTAGCCTCTCCCTTCGTTGTGTCGGGCAGTGACCGAGCAGGGCGCGAGATAAGGAATTTCTTGGCGTCACGAAATGTCACGCCTGATATGCGCTTGATGGCCATCATTTTGACATCACCTCGTGAGTGCATTTTCAGTCTGTTTTCATTCCTCAACACTCACCAAGCTCGCTCCAGCCCCCCTCTCCCTCCAGATTTTGGTTTGTCGACAGTTTCAATATACCCCCACACGCCTAGGTACTTACCCCGTGGATTCGATGCAATGTCATTTGGTTCCTGGACTGTCACACTCGAATCACAC